AGCCAGGAGACGAAGATTACTCCTGTAACCGCTTGAGGGGGGGATATAAATCATAATGGTGCTATGTGATGATGAAATCTTGAAATGAGTTTATGTACCTCATTAGTAATATAACCCATGCTGTTATATAGAGGCTAAAATAACAACCTATCTAATGGTTCACGCAATATATACAAGATGCTCATGGTACTCCCTTTGTCATGTTATTTCACCCTTCGGTGAGTACGAGTTAGCGGATGGACAAGTCCAAACTATCGCAACTAGAGCGCCAAATGTAGAACTCCGGGGCAAGTCAGACAAATGAACCTGGAATCCCTTCACTAAGTAAAATATTACATAGACTAAAGTCTATATAATCACCCATCGGAGACAACGGATCTGCGACAGAAAAGCCCGCCGCCCCGGAATCACCCGACGGCGAGGCAAAGTTGGGCCCGGTCGCATGTTCGGAAAATGTATGATTTCCTCCAAAATCGTGGAATTCACCAGTACCATTGATATCTCTTGCCGTTTTCTTGGTGCTGCCTGGGTGTTGGCGGTGTCCTGGCTTCTGCTTTGTGTGTGTATTCATTCGGTTCCGTCGACGGGTCTCCCACTGGCGCTGCAGGGTGCCGAGAAATGTGCTCGTGCGTCTCGCATTCTCTAGACAGCTTCCCATCTCTTCTAATGCACGGAAACATGTATTTAGGTGTCTGACTAGGTCCTGGTTTCGTGGGCTTCGTTTTGAAGGCACTGTGATGAAGATTAAGATGAGCGCAGCGGAAAAGATGAACGAAACTATCTGGACATTGGCCCGGCGGAAGGTATATAGGTTTTCATGTACTGTTAAGAGTTTAACAATAGAAATGGCGGATTCCACACACATCTTGCGAGCATGGCGTGGTCCTGGGCCTTGTGGGGGTTGTGGCTGGATGTAATATTTTGACATGTATGGTCGATGACAGTGAATCATGAACTGGTAGTATTGCATACTTCGGTAGCTATTAGGCTTCTCCGTAGGCAATTAGTCTGGGTAGGTGTGCCAACTTACTGGAGAGATAGTATATGTGGAATTGGCGGTTGGCTGATGGGGCGTCCCTCAACGTGAAGCTCAGGCGGAAGGTTCTTCTTCCACAACCTTAGATTCTGCACCGTACTGGCAGTGAGAACCTGAAGAGAATGATTGGAGACTTCTGAAACTCCGTACCTAGATGGCGCGGGAATTAGCCAAATGATGATGGATGGAATAAACGTGCGGCTCACTCACAAAACGTCCGTCAAGGGCAGCATTATATCATAGAGAGACACCCATCGAGAACATATCAGATCGAAAGGAACCATGGCATAAGGTGACATGCTCATTGTCGGGTACACTTTCCATTTTATTGCAGGAAGTGGGCTAGATGAACCTGGCTTGGGGGCAGAGACACCACTCATAGGGCTCTGCGGGGAACGCCCTAGATAGAATCCCCAAAATCTGATGAGTTAGCGATAAGCTGTAACTCCAAGGACATACATCCTACTGTTCACTAAGATAAACTCCCCAGAATATCATCCGGCGCAGATCAGCCTCCTCTGGTGATATTATCCCCTTTTCCACATAGGGCGTCATGTCCAGGTGGAGACCGAGGTCAAAAGCAAGCCTCATCGCCATCCCTAGTCTGTGTTAATCTAAGGCGAACACTTGGCTTACTCCGTATGCTTACCACTGTATAGCCAACAACGAGTATCCCTGGTACAAGATGCCTCGTAGCTGCTCAAAACTACGAGTGCTTGGATGGTTGCAACGGTGGGATTTTCCATTTCAAGCTCAAGCAGTAACTTTGCCCTATCGCCAAAGAATTCGGACAGCGAGCGGGGGAAGGTTACTAGGTCCGGATGATACTTTGATTCATGTGCGGCACCTAATGCAGACATGGCATTAGATAAAGCACGAGAATAGTATTGTGTGGATATTCGTTCGTCTAGAGAACGTGACTGAGCTTTCCAGAAGACGTCCATATCGACCACATGTAACCACGGGTCCTGCCACGCAAAATAGAGCTCAATCAGATGCCTCTCGAGTTCTTCATTCACGTGCATGTTAAGATCCGCGTTTTCAAGGACCTCTTGCGCGTCTCTCTGGAAAGAGCTTGAGCTGGGCGTTATAACGCCCACTAAGGCGTCTAATAAAGTCAGATTGGATGTTGAACCGAAATACCGAAGCTGGCCATGATGTGTAAGCTGTAGCCGTCCCAGACGACATGACATCTGGTTAGTTACTTCCTCGTCACTGTCAGAGTCATTGTCATTTAGCTCAGGTGGAGCAGCCATCGGTTCATATGGAGGTGCTTTCAATGAAGTGTCCTGTTCCAATGAAGTCGGATACATGGGATCTTGAGCTTGAGAGTGCGGTATATTATCTTCTACGATGACTTGACGAGGTGCATTGCCTTCCACTAAGTGCACCCCAACCCTGGCATTTTCGTCAACTTGGCGGGGAGCTTCCTCCCCATCACGCACAAAATCCATGGAAACGCCATGATCCCTCCTCGCTGGACCATTAGCTCCTGCGTCTTCCGACTGTGGAAGTCCCAATAGAGACACATTATTGTCATTAGTAAATGCGATATCACTATGAATCTGTTGATCAGATATAATCCCGACATGCCCGTCGCTCTCCCAGAAATCTTCACAGCTAATTTCAAGAGCGTCAAGAATATTCTTGACAGCAGCATGGCCATCGTCATTCATCTTTGGTTTCTGGAGACCATGGTCCCGGATATAGCGCGACAGCTGGTCAACTCTCTGTGCTAGGAAGCCAACAGCGATTCGCACAGGGACCTTGCGTTTGTCATCCGTTTGTCGATAGCTACAGTCTTTCCCTTTTATTCGACAGTTTTTACACGTTGGAGTGTTTCCATCACACTGTTTCTGGTCAGTTTAGAGCCATTCACAGGTTAGACAGTAGGCTTCCTACTTTCACTTTCCCGTCCCTGCAGGGGATGCATGCTGTAGTCACATGCTTGCGAACTGCTCGGGGTGTCCTATTTCGCGGTGTCATATCTTGAGTGTCTTAATAGCAATAGTATCTACTACCATTGTTAGAAACATAGAAACGGTGATCTAAGATGATGTTGACTTGGGCCCGGGATTCAAATTCCGGATGAGTAATCAATGCCTTTTAAATCCGGAGCCCGAGAGAGCGCCTCACGTATAGCGTATATACCAACGCTTCGAGAGATACAATTAAGCAGGAGGAAAGAGTCGTTCTAGAATCAGTGGAATGGATGTGTCCAGGGCCCAGAGACTCCAAGCAGATTAATACAATGACGAAGCGTGGGATTTGGGTTGTAATCATTCTCTATCCAAATATATGTCAATCCCACTCGACCAAAATGCCAATGACATCAAGGTCGCGCCTTGCACACTTTATTCCCCCAACAATATATATTAATAGATTTTACCGAAATTGCTGCTTGAAGAGCTGTTCGATGTTTGTAAGATTTGGATAAGTATATCGTCCCGCTCCTTCCTTAACAAGATAGAGTACATCGGGCCCACGAAACCTCTGTGGCATCTAGCTTCTATTCACCTCTTGGCGCCTAGTAGTATGATTTGAAATGGTCGGTCTGGAACCATCTATATTAATTTTACTCCTTAAGTTAGATCTCATTCCGGTTTGGTGGTCACTGCGCAACGGGCCTCTCGTATTGTTCTCGTAGGCTGGAACCATGAAAGAAGTGACAGATGTACCGAGGAGAGCAATGGTGAGATTTAGATTTCACGGCTACCAATCACCACTGTTTCTGTGACTCTCAGACATCGTGAATCTCTGAACAAAGGATGTCGCTTTTCTCCAGTGGGACCTTGCTGGGACTAGATCGAAATATGGACCCAAGAGCGCCAAGTCTCCACCCTTGGTATTCGATCTTGGCAGCATAGCATCTGTCAGATCCCGTACTATTTTGCAGGTTCCATCCACGGTGCGAAACTGGCGCATGACAAGAGTACTAGTAGTATTCCATTTGCTCCATTATGACACAAGCTTTGGATTCAGTTAGTGGCAACTAGAACGCATGCTCTACTTTCCAAAACGAGCGCCACTCTTGGCACATCCCGTGTCGGTGGGAGCTCCACGTACCTGCTTTTTCCTACGAGATTTTGTGAATTCATTAATGATATTCCGAATCCATACTATGAATATCTATAGCAAGTATAAAGTATACTGTTTGTGACGAGGGAACTGGTTTTGTATGAGTACTGGCTCCGGAGCAATAAACGGGTACTGGCTGGGAAGGTCAAGTTATGTGGATCTAATACTTTGCTAGATGAAGCTCAGATATAATGCCGGACTAAGAAACAGCCAATAAGATTGTAGTACTTGCTTTACTTTTGAGTTTATTTTATAGTTTACCTTAGCATTTTATGACAGGTAGTTAAGGATTGCTTAATATATCAAATATCGATCTCAGTTATAAAAATCTAAAATTCACAGATCCATGGAGCTGCATGTATGGAGGGTCTACCTGGTATTAAAATCTGTGGAACTGAATTAGTCTATGCCTACTTATCTTCGGCTTTTATTGCATTTTCATGCAGGTTCATGTATTTCAAAAAAAGGCGTGACTGATGAGTAAATGCCTATAGATCTCATCATATGATACAATTTCTTATCAACTGACTGTGCTGAATGAATAAAACTCTCTCTATTTGACTTACGGTCTATGGTGAGACCCGCATTGAAAGCCTTTTTCGGACTCTCACCCTCTGTTCCAATACCTCTCATTGATAAAGTCTGTCGCATGACTCTAAAGTCGAGTGAGCGGTCATCTGCTTTAGAGAGGCAGATCTAGATCGCTTATAACATCGGCAAATCTGAAGCCTAGCCTAGTCAGATGGAATGTGCGGCGCACCTTTCGACTTTTACTGACTCGAATATAAATAATTGCAAGTTACCTCAAATCTTTCGGCAAAATCCATTGAGTGTCTCATTAATTTAAACTTCTTTTATCTTAAATGTTTGAGAACTACGCCTAAGCATGGATGCTAAACATGAGGATGATGGCTCAAAACCATCACTTATGCCCCCACACCCGCAACTTCTTGCGGCACTTCAGGTTGCCCCAGGCTTGGTTGATGCGCCCCACATATCACAAATGAGCTTCGGACGCCCGTCTCTGAGCGCAAGAACAGGGACAGCGCGTGGCTTGAATGACGGCACAATATTTCCTGACTCCGACTTCGACCCCACTGTACCACCCAGGCTCATGAGGAGGGCTGCCCTAGAAAGAGCACCGCTCAGGGGAGTCGTGAGGTATATAGCAAATTCCTTTCGTAATTTCTATCTTTGCAATATCATTTAGAACATCAGCTCACTGTGGGAATTGACAGGGTCGCTGTTGTGCTGGTCGACTTTCCTGATCAGAGGATGTCCAGCAACGCGGCGCAGCGTTTTTGGAAGTTATTTTTCTCATACGGGAAGATTCCTACTGGAAGTGTCACAGAATACTTCTCTGAGGTTAGTAACAAGAATATATCCCTGGATGGTGAGGTAGTCGGTCCATTTGGTATGCCGCGAACGCTTCGCGAGTACGCCAATAGGAACAGTGGGAGATCGTCAATGCCTCCAAATGCTAGAACACTAGCCGACGATGCTCTCGATGCAGCAAAGAGTAAAATCAACTTTAAGCAATATGACAATGACGGGAACGGATATGTTGATGCGTTTATTGTCGTCCATGCCGGAAGAGGGGCGGAAGTGACGGGTAGCCGTAACGATATCTGGTCCCTGAAGTGGGTTTTGCCCAGCGTTGTCTCCGCCAATGGAGTCAATATATATGGGTTTCTCACCATTCCAGAAGATGCATATATTGGTGTTTGCGCCCACGAGCTTGGTCATCTCTTGTTTGGTTGGCCTGACCTCTACGATATTGACGAGAGCTCTCAGGGTATTGGAAATTGGTGTCTCATGGCCGGTGGCTCATGGGGAGGTTCGCCACCTGGTGTTCAGCCTTGCCATCCATCTGCCTGGTGTAAAGTGTTCCAGAATTGGGTTACGGTCCATACCCCTACTACGGGTCAGAGTATTACATTGCGGGACGTGGCAACCAGTCATGAGGTCTACCGATTATGGACAGGAGGAAGTACTACCAGCAAGGAATACTTTCTGCTGGAAAACCGCGCTTTTAGTGGCTTTGACCGCTCTCTACCAGGGTTCGGTCTGATAAGTGTGTATTTCATTCGGGCTACTGCATACCCAGTGCTAATACCCCGGCACAGTCTGGCATATAGATGATTCAAAACAGGACAACAGTGATGAAACACATTATTTGGTTGCCATGAAGCAGGCCGATGGCAGCAACCAACTTGCAACATCGACTGCAGGCGGAGGTGACCCTGGCGACCCTTACCCTGGGACGGCTGATAACCGATCCTTTACAAACACTTCCAATCCGAATAGTCAGTCATATTCAGGGAGAGCAACCCGAGTCTCAGTGACCAATATTTCCGATGCTGGAGCAACCATGACAATGGATATTAATGTTTAGTGTAGTTAGGTAGGGTTAGGAGTACGATGTGGAAGTTTGATGGGCTCTAGTAACCGTACTGACACCGCTACTTTTGATTGTGCGTGGTAGTATGTAATGTTAAAATGTTATTCAGACCTCACAATAGTCAAAATTGAGTACATGTACCGTGTAAGACATGGCCACATTGCACACACTAAGCATGTATCTTGTTTTTATAAAATATATTGCATCATCCACAACATATCAAGTCAAATTCATAACGATAGAAGCATATATGTTCCTTGGATTAAGTATATCTATTCTATATGTTTACTATTTATACTGTATATTCAAATATAATTATATTATTTAGTCTACTACGGAGTAGATAGAACCGCCGAATGGAGTATAAGAAGGGATCTCCCTAAACCCCGGAGCTTGCGAATCCATCGGAGACCTTGTTTAGCCCAATATGAACCCCACGATTTCCTAGAATCACATGTCTTTACAGTCTTATATAAGTTAGATTGTCTGGATTCTGTACTTTTGTATTATACTATAACAAACTTTCTTGGACTACTCCAATTTGGCCGCAAACGGCTGTCTCTTCCACCGACCAAAGAAAGCCAGAAAGACCGAGAAACCTTATCTAAGTCTGCAGTTATAATAATTTATCTAATCCTTTTCGCTAGCTGAATCTTCAATTCACTCAAAAGGTATATTATATATTCCTCAATCCCGGTTTCACAGTTTCACATAAATATAAGATTTGTTTCCATATTTTTAATACCAAAAACAAGGATATTTTGATAAATAGTAAATTACTTTAGTAGACTTGACTCTGATTGCATACTATTTTTATCAACATATTTTAATTGTTTTAGTTTTGGGGGACAGACTACAGTATCTCTGCTATTTCAGTTATACTTTTACTTGTAAGTGTTGAACAAGTTGCACCTTACTGACTCCAAGATTCTTATGTTATGGCCTCAATACCAAGAAAAGGCCTACCTAGTCAAATCGACAAGTTGTATTAGTAAGATTTTTAGAAATTTCTGACTATCTCCGAATATACTGATCAACTAGAATATAATATAATTTAATTATACTGAGTAGACTTGTCCAGTATAATTTTTCCTGAGCTGGTGCAATAAACACAGTTACTATTTTTTTATATTTATGTATGTATCAAACACTCCTCTCCCCTGGTGAACAAATAAGAATAGTATATTATCGGTGAGCTAACCTATTGCCAAATATTCCAAAAACAAATATGGTAGATTCGGAAAGTAATTATTCTCTTTCTTTAGCTGGCTGTATTGGATGATAATTTTTCACCGGGATCGATGACTGAGAAAAAAGCAGCCCTGAGCTGGCCTTTTTCTGGACACAGAAAGTCGCAAAGTTTCTACACAAGAACCGTTCGCAAGTATGCATGTATACATGAATTGATATAAATTATTGCCTATAGGTGTAGTTCTGTTATTGATAAAAACCTTTTCCTGTCTTTTAGCCATACACCTTAGATACATTGCCATCCCAATGTCCGTGCATTACGGCCACCTATAAGTTCCATGTACTGCTTCACTCTCGATACAATTCCATTTGCGTCTAAACCGAAGCGCTCATAATTGCTCTGATTTGAAGCAGAATAGCCATAAGTCTTCATCCCAATGCTGGCAGTGACGTATCGGGCCCATGTGGTTGCGACATACTCCTCGACACTCACGATAGGTTTACCATCCAAGGGAAAGACAGATTGCCGATACTCTGCTTTTTGGTGGTCAAACAAATCAAAACTGGGACAGCTCACGACCCGACTTCGGATTGAATCATCTCGCAGCTGCCTCGCGGCGGTGACAACGTGGTGTAAGTTGGACCCACAGCTGACTAGGGTTATGTCTGCTTCTTCATCCTCCTGGATCACATAGGCTCCTAGTAAGGTTCGGAATCTATCGGTATTAGGCACCTCTCCAACTGGATCGTGAGCGAGGGATATCATTGTTGGTGTCGTCTTCGACCCCATTGCGTGAATCCAGGCGCCCAGAACCTCTTCGGCGTCACAGGGGCGGATATATGTAAGATTAGGCATAGCCCTATAGAGTGAATCGAGTTCGACTGGCTGATGAGTGGGCCCGTTCTGGCCCTCAGCTAAACAGAGTTAGCTATGCCCATTCTATTGTTGCTAAGTGAACCACGCTTACCGAAGGAGTCATGTGTGGCGATATGAATCGCGGGAAGGTTACTGAGAGCTCCCATACGGACTCCTGGCGCAGCCTGTGTCGATATTTTATTAGCTTAACTGTGTTGAATACAATATTGCGAATGCAGGTATCTCGTACGTAAATGTAAAACATGAAGAAAGTTGCGGTAACGGGGATGAAGGTTCCTGGGTTGAAGGCTGCCAAGCCGTTAGAGATCGAAGCCATTGCATGTTCTCTAATGCCATATCTGATATATCGGCCATTGTAGCTAACGGTCGGATGGAACACATCAGAGTCGGCATAAAGTATTTTGTTTGAATTCACGAGGTCCGCTCCTCCTCCGATGAGTGGAAGGCATTCAGCCCACAATTTATGAAGAATTAAACCGTTGGATTCCCGTGTCGGCATACCACTGAAAAGCTTGCTATCCATACTGCGGAGAAGTTCATCGTATCCAGTAACCGTACCCTGACGTCGAGCAGCAAATTCCCGTGCTTTCTCTGGATGAACTTTGGAATAGTCATCCAAGAGCTCCAGCCATTTGTTCTCTAACCACTTTCCATGCTCTTTTCGCTCCCGGAAGAACTCTAGGCCCTTTTCTGGCACGACATGGGTAGTTGAAGGGTCCAGTCCAGCCAAGATCTTGGAACGGGCGACGCTATCTTGGTCAAATGCACCGTGATGTGCCTTAGCCGTCCCTGCTGTCTTGGTCTCAACACCGATAACGGTCCGAATGTTAACAAACACCGGCTTTCCACGGAGGGTCTTAGCATGCTGTAAAGTTGCGCATATGGCCTGGACATTGTGGGAGCCCTCCATAACATCCAAGACATGCCACCCAGAGGATCGCATTTTGCCGTTGATATCTTCAGCGTTAATCCATGAGAGCGGACCGTCACATGTCACTCCATTGTTGTCATATATCAAGACCAGGTTATCGAGTTGAAGATATCCCGCGAGCGAAACGGCTAGGGAAGCTTAGTATGATGTGATGTGCTTAGACCTGTCAACAACAAACCTTCAAGCGCAACGCCCTCCATCAGACATCCATCGCCAGTCATACAATAGATCCGAGAAGTCACAACATCATAACCAGGTTCATTATACATGGCACCCAAATTCTTCGATGCAATAGCAAGTCCGACCGCGTTTGCAATACCCTGTCCCAGGGGCCCTGTAGTGACCTCCACACCTGGGCATTCGATTTCAGGATGCCCATGGGCGAGGGTACGGATACCATTTAGCTTTGCGTCACCGTAATGCCTTAACTCCTCCATCTTCCAGGCATCAAAGCCTGTAAGGTGATTGAGAGCATAGAGGAACATCGCACAATGACCTGCTCACATTAGCAACATCGCCTTAATTAAAGCCTAGAGCAGTAGTGCTTTTACCGTTTGATAACACAAATCGGTCCCGATCAAACCAATCTGGGTTTGAGGGACTGTAACGCATGATGTATTTCCACAAGGCAACACCTATAGCGGCCATACCAATGGCTGATCCACCATGTCCACCCCCATTTTGGTTGCATATATCAAAAACTAGATTCCGGAGCGTCAGCAGGGCGAAATCGTCCTCTGCCATATTTCCTGCACATGAGTGGTCTCCCATGGTGGTCGGCAGGTATGCTTGTTTGAAGTATTATGGAAAGGCGTGCGGATACTGGGTTGCGACGAAGAAGATGCAGGGATAAATGGATACAGGAGCTTGCAAGTAGTTCGAGCGTATTGGATCTTTAGATTTAGATGCTCAAGAGCAAGGAGGACCTGATCCATGGTATACAAAGGGGTCTATTTCTCTCCGGAACTATTTTCCCGAGTATCGGGGGTGGCACCCCGTTTAATACGAATTGAATAGACCTAGGAAATACATGGCGAAGTTATGCCTGAATCGGAACTCTAGCCCCAAGCAGTTGAAGTATTCTCTTTGTCTTCGAAGAGGGGTAGACTGGTGACTTCCGTTCGTCGCAGCATCAAACTCTACAGGTGGGCCATGGCTGCAATGGTTAGAAGGCATGAATGGGACTTAACTGAGCTTCTGTATGAATAGGTGTTGCGCTGGACTATATGTACTAGGATGCAGATGTACCATAGCGCATGTATGAAATACATTTACAGTGTTATCTAGTCTAAGAATGCCTTGCAGAGAATGTGCGCCTATATCTTCAATGTAAACGCTAGCAAATCCTGGTATACCCCTCTTGGTTAACATTCAGGATCATATGATATTGTTAATCTAGAGATTGACTACGGCCTTAATGACTAACTTCGAACTTTCGTCTCGTGTCTTACTCGCCATGTCATATGCATTGGGGATTGACTCAAGACCACAAAACCGGTGCGTGATAATCTTCCTGACGTCTGGTCCAATTTCATGCCGTGCTACTGCCTCCATAATTTCAATCGCCCGTGGATAACAATTTGCATAGCGCCAAACGGAGACAACATCAATTTCTCTTCCGGTAATCTCTGAAATGGGCCAGGACGGAACAGGCGAGCCCATACCGACCAGAATGACCTTGCCCCCGCCGTCGACGGTCTGGGAAAGTTAGCCCTAAACCTTTTAGTGAATGTGGCAAAAGGTGAGTGGCTCACGTAGATGGATGCCTGTGCACAGGTCTCGACGCCGGTACATTCGAAGACAACGTCAGGGCGATCGACTAATGTTTCATCGGGCCACTTGGCCCTGCTAATCTCTGAAGCCATATCTTTGGCCTGACTGAACTTCTCTGTAGACAGGGAGCTCCTTGGAGTAACAATGAAACCAGCATCAGCGAAGCCCTCATCAAGAGCGAACTGTACCCGACCAGAATCGATGTCGGCAATAACAACTCTACATTGGTGCTCAATCTTTGTTACAGCGGCGCACATCAACCCCACAGCTCCAGCTCCGAGAACTAAGCACGACGATCTGTGCTGAAGAGTAGCCTTTCGAGTCGCATGGATACTAACGGCAAGAGGCTCAAGAAGAGCCCCATCATCGCATGAGAGTACACTAGGAAGCCTGGAGATGCTATTAATAACAGGAAACAGATGAGGACAACCAACACTCACTTATGACACCAACGCGCAGGATGATCAACGAACTCTTGAAGTGTTCCCTGAAAATGTGGAAAGGAAGCACCACTGCTTCGAAAACGTAACTTTGGACAAACGTTGTAGCGCCCGTTCTTGCACTTGTCACAATCTTCACAAGGTACTCCACTTTCTATGGCAACAACGTCACCTATCTGTAGATCTCCACCTTCAAGGATGGATTGACCAGCGGCAGCAATGACACCTGCTGCCTCATGGCCACCACACAGGGGCTCTTTGATCTTGATGGACCCATTTTGACTGTATTTGAAGTAATGGACGTCTGATCCGCAAAGAGTCGTGGATCGTATCTGAATGCGCACGTTATCTGAGGATAAAACACCTAATTCTCGAGCTTCAAGCCGAAGGTCCTTAGGGCCATGAAGATATTGTCCCCTGCTCTGAGAGATTGTAGACTCCATCGTCAAGAACGCAACACGTGAAAGACTGCAATTACCTATTGTATGAACTTGCTATAGTTATCGAAGGTATAAAAGCTGAGAAGAATAGACTCAGCGCCTTGAAACCGTGAAATGAATCCCGGAGCGGATGAGGATGTCACAGCAGGTATGGCATACGGAAAAGCAACACCGGAACTCAAATTCCTGCACACTTTCATACATATATGGGATTGTTTAAGAGGTCATAAAGAAAGTGCACATGTTAATTGTTGTAATTCCTCCTCAATCATAGTGCCTGGACTGGACGTTTCTCAGAGTGGTATTCCAAGTGTACCGATCATGGCAACAGCGTATTCTCCTAGTGCAATTATTATTGGGGCGGGCCCCAGCGGTATTTCGCTTGCGTATCGACTGAGGCACGAACTGGGGTTTGACGACTTTTTGGTAAGTTATGGCTATTCACACGACACATATGAGAGATCCGACATCTAAGAAAAATGTTAGATATATGAAAAGCTAGACGGTGTTGGAGGCACCTGGAGGACAAACACTTACCCTGGATGGTGACTGCCCGGTCCTTGTATCAATTTGCAAGCAAGAGAGTTGCTAACATGCTTAACTACTAGTGGATGTGACCTCCCATCTCATTTGTACTCGTTCAGTTTCAACCTGAATCCGAACTGGTCGAAAGAGCTATGCGAGCAACCAGAGATTTTGCAATGTAAACTTGCCCAAGAACGCGTCCAAATGCGCTCCACTAACTGCAATATGTTAGATATTGAGGATACTGTGGATAAATTCGACATTCGCAAGCATGTCATCACTTCTGTAGAATGCTCTGGCGCCGTATGGGATGAATGTCGCGAAGAATGGACTGTCTCTTTACGTGATCACAAAACAGGACTGAACTTCGTGCGGTATGCGACGATTTTCGTGTCAGCGGTCGGGGCAATTTCCTTCCCTCGGGATGTGAGGTTCAAGAATATGAACGAATTCCAAGGCTCGATAATTCACACAGCTCGATGGGACCACTCAGTCGACTACACTGGCAAGCGAGTGGTATTTGAAACCTTTTATCCCTCAGTGAAAAGCTTTGAGCTGACTTTATACTAGGCGGTTATTGGAAACGGCTGTAGCGCCGCCCAAGTCGTACCTGCAATGGCTGAGAAGGCCTCGTTCGTGCAACAGTATGCTCGTAGCGCTCAGTGGTACCATCCCCGTGTATGAACCTCCGTTATTTCATGTGAAGCAAGAAGTGTATACCTATACTAATACTGACAGGTATATTACAGCCAAATCATCATTTTTCAGCAGTGGAAAAATGTGCTTTCCGCTGGATTCCCTTGTTACAACGCTGGCTCCGCTTACGGATTTTTCTCAAGGCAGAGACGGAGTCGAACACCTATTTCCCGTCCCTTGAAGGGGTGAATGCCCGTATTGAGGCGGAAAAGGAATCAAAAGAGTATATACTTTCTAAAACGCCAGAGAAGTACTGGGACTTTATCGTGCCCAACTTTCCGCTTGGTATGGCATATATCGCACGATTTTATTGGCATGAGGGAGTTACTGATTGTGCCAATCATAGGATGTAAGAGAAGGATATTTGACCCAGGGTATCTTGACTCTCTCCACCGGAGCAATGTCTCGCTCCGAAATGAGGGTATCAAGGAGTTCACTGAATCAGGAATTATTGGTTCCTCCGGTGACGAGTATCGTACGTGGCATGAACCCTGGAAGTTCACTTTCAATCGCCCTAACAGGCTCATCAGATGCCGATATTATCGTCCTTGCGACAGGTTTCCAGGTGTCCCAGTTCCTAACTCCGATGGAGATAGTAGGAAGACGTGGAGTCTCATTGAATAAGCAATGGGAGGAGTCCAGAGGGGCACAGGCGTACTACGGTACACACGTTCACAACTTCCCAAATATGGGCATAATGTAAGCAGAACTATGTCCAAAGCAGCGGATCGTGGGCCTGACAGTGAATTTAGTTTTGGACCCAACGTCTTTCCAGCGAACAACTCAGCTTTGTTTGCCTGCGAAACACAGGTTTCATATGCAGTCAAGTCTCTATTCATACCTATCTTAGACCGAAGAGCTCGTGTACTTGAAGTGAAACAATCAGCAGAGGAAAAGCACACGAATCTTATGCAACTGCGGCTAAAGGACACTGTGTTTTCCGGTGATTGTTCAAACTGGTACATAGGCAAATATGGCCGGAACGCAGCATCATGGCCGGCTAAGGCGGGCAGATTGTGGTATGAAACCTACTTCCCTGATTGGGATTCATTCACCTGGAGGGGTGGTGTCTCTCTTTGGCCACTTTACAGGCTACAGAGGTGGCTGAAGGTGTATTCACGGTCCGCCAAGATACTATTGATAGTAGCATCGTTCGCTATATATTCAGCACACAGTGGTCATGCAATATCATATGTGCTCGGCCCTGGTCGCAGCCTGTTGATGTAGAGATACCGATGCCTTCCCTGCTCATTTATCAGTCTAGTATATTTTCGAGATGCCAGTTGAATTCGTTATGCATTGTCTATGGGAATAGCCCCTTCCAAGGAGTAGCCTAGGATGTAACCATAGACTGGTTAGATATCCCAGCATAACTCTTTGTTCCCGACCGTCGTTTCCAACGGCTTCGCTATCAGTGACTTAGAGCTGTACACACCATCAAGCCACTTGTTCTAATTGGAAAGCCCTAATAATGCAGGCGAGCCTACCGTAGTTAGAAAATCGTTGTACGGAGGGGTATGGCCCAAGTAATCTCGGACAAGAATAGGTCACCGGATATTGTATTCTTTTTGGGCAAGAGTGATCAGGAATTGTTGTTAGGAACTAAAAGATAACAAACAGGGGATGTTAGAGTATCAGGTTTTGAAGTGTAAATTATTGGAAGTATTCGTAGATAAAAAAAAAAAATATGGAAATTCCAAATACAGGCCACTGTGTGTGACACATCCTTTTCCCAAATTTGTGCTTTCATGTTTCGAGCGACTGTACACTGTTGTGCCAAGCAAGACTGGCCAAGTCCATCCTTAAAAGCTTCAAATCGCATATATGTGTGACTTTCAAATTATAACAAGTGACAAAAGAAAAAAATAGAGACAGAATCGGAACGACTGTTTTAAACAAACATAGTTCGACAAGGTCGACAAAAAAAAGCAACGTAAATATGTTGGTTTCGAGTCAGGTATATCACTGGTTTGTACATAGCAAATCACGACGAGAGGATATATTGAACATAGTTGACAATTCGGGGTATGAAAATAGCAAAGCGACATATCGGTTCCAGCGTATTAAGGGTGTAAGATAAGGGGTGTCTGGTAGGGTGCGTTCTGATTATGACGGCTGATAAACTAATTGGCACTCTGGAGTTTGAATCCAGTCTGACTGAGGGAAGGACGTAAAGTGCGCTGGCTGGTGCATGAACATGCCGGAGGGTGCAGTAGCGTAGAACCGCGTAGCAGAGTCATGGGTCACATCCTCTGGCAACATGCCGTAGCTCATAGTCATAGGCCATTGTGATGATGCCAATTCCGCTCTTGGCCGCTCTATGGCTGGGTTGTAAAAGTCGAGAGCGGGATGTGAAAACCTGAAATTAGGCGTTAGCCACCAATTTGCTTTTTGAAGTATGCCGTCCAACCTCGGGTACTCCATAAGAGTGGCCCAGATTTCAGAGTATCTAATGACATACCGTGGATAGTATCCAGGGGAAACTTCATGATACTCCCATGATGGGTTGACTGCTGACATGGCTGTTGTAGAAGAATGGAAAGACTCATGTGGTATAATCCCACATGATGTTTGCTTGTCATGCATGGTATCACCTCGTTCAGGTGTATAGAAGTCTTCCTTCGTCGTAGAATGGCTCATGGTTGTTGAATGTGCCGTCTCGTCACTACTATAAACTGGCGACTTGAAGCAGCTTTCATTGCTTAGGCTTTCATGGTGGCTCATGATGAATTTGTTCTGACTGCGACGACGAGATAGCTTGGTGACACCCCATTTTTTCAAGCGACTCCGCAACTGAGTCTCACTGTGGAAGAGCAGTCGATCGGTCAGGGCATATGTCTCTCTCAGGGCCCTCTGGAATGCCTCACCTTGGATTGAATGTGTCGGAGCGAATCCTTTTGAGCACTTGTTTTAGAGGCCACTCTTCTTCTTGGTAAAGTTTTATGATCAGGCCTCTCTTCATCTCCCACATTCTAAAAGAGATTGTGTGTTTCATATTGGATGGTGTTCGTTCAATTGCTCAGTCTATACAAGGCTGAATGTCAGCAAAGCATGGTGCGATATTAATGGGTTCTCTTGAAACATATATAGAACTCTGAGCTTAGAACACTTCTGGGAAAGGAAAATGGAGACTAGATAAAAGCCCCCCTTGAGCCACAAGCCACCAGGGTTACAGGCCGATCGCGCAGGCACAAAGTCTAAAGCAAGGCTGTTGACCAGGGTAAGGGTATGGCTCGCCACGTGTGATGAGCAATTCAACTGTGATAATCCCGGGGCCCACCCTTGGATGAACGGCCCCCGTTTCATCTCCAAGTTTTAGACTTCCTGGGTGCCCTACTCTAACAGTCTTGTCCGAGGCTTTACCCACTTTCGTCCAGAGGGCCCCTCACCCCTAAGTCTCGTAACTCTTGAGGTGGGTACGCACTCCATCACGATTTAGTGGATTACTTTTCGATCTTGAGCCCTTTTTTTGCCCTTAAAATTATACCGAAATCAAGTCGTATGAGACGGTGATCCCGCGGTAGATCCGTGGACGGTACTTCCATGATCGTCCGGATGTCCCCATTGTGATGAGTTACCAATGAGACATATCTGCGATCGAGTCGTCGTCTGCTGACCTTTCGGCCGGAATTGACGATGTACGCTTGACGACACTAAGGGGTGCTAGAGTGGGTCATTGAACCATGGAATACTTTTCCTCTATTGTCCTCGGCTAAGTCGCATCAGAACATGGTTCAGCATGCGGGTGATTGGCTACTGCACACTTTTCACGCATCACTCTAATGTGGGGGTCTTCGGGCACGGTTATCTGTCCACCCAAACGATACTCCTGTCAAGGCTTCTCGGCTGCCCTTTTCCGGATATGTTCGGATTCCGTCCGCAACTTAGTCACACAAACCATATCCTGTCCATGTCGCTAACAAAGCATCCATGGTGTACTGCTATCTTTTGACCTTCCGAAAATGTAATACGTAAGGTTTGCCGGGGTTTGGTGCGCGTGGGGGGGATTGGGTTAGAGTCGGGACAGTATCTTCTGCCTAGTTTCAACCATAAACATACGGCACATCTCGCTAGATAAACTTCAGCCCAGATTTAGCACGACTGCCTAGGTCTAGAAGCCATGTAGGAAGCTGTACTAAAAATGTAACTATCTTATTGGAGTTTCAGGAAGTGATAAGGAAGTCTTTGCACTTGGGCATGATGCATAATAATTCATATCCTGTAGAATCAACTAATTATACCATGTATGCAACGAGGGTCTTCCTACTCTACTTACAAAGTGATCCAGGCTTATTTGACTCCATATAATGTACATTATTATGGGACTTATCTGCGCGATTCCCCTGCCTACTTTACTGGTCTGTCCAGTTTTTAACCTTCTCACACCAAGGCAAATAGCATTACCGAGATAGATGAAGTAAGACAAAGTGTTCTATGGTACACTACTCCGAAAGAGGCTGCGTCCAAGGTGTTAACATTTGGTAAACTAAGAATAGTCCAGGAGCTACTGTATTAGTCTGGCAATCGAGGAGTGTTCAACGATACGAATTGAATACGCTCGCAACGTACGATTCAAATCAATCGTGCCATGTAAACCTAGCCACAATTCCTAGAACCTGCTATATTGTACAGCTATTTAAATCAAGTAAATTGCACATTAAATAGGATACATTGTAAGTATTCAGTCAAATCACCACATCAGCGTACCGCTCATCTTCTATCTTTTGGCAGCGGTGGCAGAGGAGGCAAATTGTCCTGAACAAAGGGTCTTGGGCTTGTTACAACGCGAACACTGGTTGTCTTCATTATTTTCATGTCTTCAGTCTCGAACCCCTGTTGTCGTAGCTGGGCGAACTGCATATGCCTCAGATTCCTCTTTTCTCTTACCTCATCATCGCACTTGATATAATGACTTTGTGAGTTGAACCGCGTCGGGAGGTTCATTGCTGCCTCATGGATTTCATTGTTAATGTTGCTGTCCCGCGCAAGCTTGCGGATGAGTGAAGCCATTTTCAACTCGATGTTAAGCTTCACGATGTAGGTGACTGGATGAAATTGGATGTAGACCATCGGGTTAGGCAGGAACATGAGTCCAATGAGGATAGCCTAGGCATATGATGTGAGAATTATTCGAGAAACAGGGCAACAAATTGCCTCATTGTGCGGTAGTCTTACGTCCATAAGTACGGAAATGAACATCATTCGCATGTTGAACCGAACTAAGGGCCCGTATTTCTTTAGTCCATTTTGGCGAACCAGTCGCACACGGACAACTCGTAGGAACCAAACATTCAAACATGCATCGACGATGCATATTAGTAACTTGGAGATTGGGTCCCAGAAGCGATTAATTAGGACAAAGCTACATAGCAAGGTCAGCCGTATACCCGGAGCGAGCAAGAAGATACTCACGTATGATTAACCGGGGGAGTCATATGTGCAGGGATCCAAATGCAGAACACTGCAATATTGATTGCTGTGATGAGACAGGCAGTGCCCCATTTGACTTTTCTCGCGGTCTTCTTCTTTTCCACCACAACGTAGATGCGGTTAATGATGATTTGCATACAACATTGGATCTGAAGGGCCCAGCAAAATAGTAGAAGTGCCAGTACAGGTGCACTGGGGAAGAGTGTCAGTGCTACAGCGAACTGCATGGTATCGCCATGTCGCAGGGGGCTTACATGACAGGTACAATGCCCTCCAGCACAAGCCACCCCATTACTCCGATTACCACATTAGACAGTATCTCAATCCAGATAAGAATAACGAAAGGGCTCTTGTAGGGCTTCTCGATTTCCGAAGTCTGCTTAATTGCATTCCAGACTGTAAGGAAACCAAACCCTAGTGTGAACCCTGCCGCCAGTCCGACCAGCTTGAAGTCGCTGACCGAAGGCTCCATTGTTTGAAAGGGGCTGAATTAGCACTATAGTGTGTTGTCTGTAAATAGGATCAAAGTCCGACGTATAATAACTACGTCTTGGATAAATGCAGACTGATACTGATGGGGTTTATGTGTCGCATACTGACTCAAGTCTGCCGGGTTCCCATGGACCCTCCAATCTTAGTTTACTAACTTTTGTAGTGCGATCCTGCTATCCTTGACACCGTTCATCAAGGGTCCCTGGTGAGGCAAGAACCGAGAAAACCCAATTCGCATGAAGTAACAGTATGAAGACGACGAATGAGTTATCCACAAAATGAGACCTACCAGAATTGAGGAAAAAGAACCACCTGGGAAAAAATAACCGAGGTGGTATTCCTTCGACAGTACACGTGGGAAGTAGGTCTTACAGGACTGTGTTAATGCCTGACGAACGTTTGATCTGCAAAAATGAGCCATTATTTGGAAACTTAAATCCTTAGCGAATGCCAGGTGATGGATTGCACCAGACCGTTAAAGCCCAACAAGCTATCTGCAGGTGTGAACGGGAAATCGGCATGAAGAAACTCACATCTGTTCAACTCGACCCCCATTTTTCCGACTCATTCAAAATTGATAGGAAAAATGGGGCTGCCTTGTAAGGTCTGTTGACCGTTGGAAATACGTGCCTTTGACCGTATACCCTCCAGGAAGGGTAAATGGTGATCTCCCTGTGCATGTCCCATTTAACCTTGCTGTAGATACTTCACACTAGAAGGTTAGGATGGAAAGGCCGGATGAGCTTAAGGGTGGAAAACGAATCCATAGCCATGGAATCTCAACCGACCTGCCAAATCGATAACGAACTATACCATAAAATATGGCAAACAATTAAACCACGCACAACTTCCTTGTTTTCGAAGTGGATCTGCTGCGCGTGTCTTTAACACGCTAAGTTCTGTGTAGAGTTTATGTCCAAAAAAAGCAACCGGCCTCAGAATCCATCCATGGCTGTACCGGTGGATCTCGGGGGATTGACTGGTGGGTTAGACTTTTCCGCTGAGGGTCCAGAACACGGACGTTGGTCTGTCTCCGTTCCTTCAACCCACCAGGGCGTGGAGTTTGAACAAATCACAATTAAATGCCTTGGAATGATTTGCTTCATAATCCAATGTCAGCCCCATTGTGGCAAAACGATCGACCACACCTCCTATCATACTTACCATCTATTGTGGACATATTAGCACCTTCCAGTATAAGGAAAGGCCAAGGAGCCAGACCCACTGACCTAGTACATTCTCAGTTAACGCACGAATCTACCTTATCACTGAAGGGCAAACGATACACGGGGGTTGTCCGTTGGAACCTTGGACCCTTGACTGATACTGCCTACGCTACCTGTCGGACATGGAGTCGATCACCAAAACCCACCGACTAGGCTATTATGGAGTATACTCCGTAGCTAACTTCGTCCGTCTTCATACTAACGCCTTTAAAAAAAAAAAAAAATTAAGAAAAAAGCAAAAAAGCAGGAGAGTAACCTAGATAGGCGAGTACAAATGCCGATAACAAATTCAATTACATTTACATTTTGAAATAGAAAAGCGAAACCTCACGAAAGCTATAATGAGTATCAAACATAAATTAAAATAGGCTACGTAGATAAATACATAAATAAAAATAGTATCTCAAAAAGAAAGAAAAGCAAATGGCAAGAAGAAAAAGGAGAACGACACAGCCAACTTCGATACATGGAGTTAGTTTGTCCACCCCAAACACAATGCAGAACTATCATCGACCCATTCGCCTACAGCTTCGACACTCGAGACCCAAATACTTCCCCACGGGCGAGCTTCATATGGCTCATAGTGAATGTATCGTTAGCAATTGCTGCGCTTGTGCTGGCATCCAATGCCACTGCAAAGGCAGCAATCATGCCAGCCAGCCTTCTCTTCCCCGAGGGCTCCGCACACCCCAACATATCCAGACACTCCTTCTGCGATGGGTACAGAGTCCCCCCACCCACGGTACCCACCGGTAAGGAGGGAAAATACAGAGTCATTTTTAATTCCTTGGTCTCGTAATCGTATTCAGATGTGAGATGACTCCAGGAAGCCTCTGCCACGCTGCCCGCATCCTGCCCCGTCGACACGAAGATAGCGGCTATAATATTGGCGGTATTGATATTGCAGCCGAACTGGCCATTGCGTATTCCTCCTTCCTTTAGAGCCATTTGGGTCCGATATAGACGCTCCGTGCTGCAGCCTAGGATTTCTTGGCAGGCAGCGTTGGTAATAGTGCCCCACGCTAGCACTTCAACTCCCCTAGCTCGCTGCACATTGCCCCAAGAAGGCTTCTTGTCCGACGCCAATTGACCCTCAATGAGGAAGTCTTGGATCTGGAATTGCTTTGCACATCTGTGGGTCCGCAGCATCTCGCACGCATGCTGTGTAGCCTTGCTGACCATATTCTGACCTGCAGCATTGCCGCAAAAGTAGCTGCAAAAAAGATGAACACTGGAGCCAATAACCGAAGCTTGCAGCTCCTGTAGCCGAACGTATCGGCTAGTCGACTCGGCCCATCGGGCAAACTCGTTTCGGAATGATGGGACTGCCCGCGCAAACGCTACCGCATGCGCCGGACTGGCGAAAAGAAACATCGGCGCACGAGACATGGCCTCATTGAGAACCTCGAACTGTAGGCCTCCGCATGCATTGAAGACTTTACAGCCCCGACTGCAACTAGCGACCAAGGTCGGTTCACACGTAGCCAATGGGGCATAGTATTCACCGGCCGTCTCAGGACCTGTGATGCGCAGTGGCCCGGCGATGCCAACCGGGACTTGCACGAAGCCTATGCAGTTCTCGATGCGGACATGTTCGGCCTCATCGATGTGGCGTGTAAGATGTTGCAGTTGGGGGCTTTCAATGTCCAAATCAAATTTGCCCCGTCCATCTGGCCGGCGTTTGATGGGCTGATCCTTAGACATAGTAAAGAACTAATGATAAAATAATTATTTCAGGTACAATCTTTGATATAGTGTGCTTAAAGCCTAATTCATAATTTGGATGTGTTACAGATATCCTGCTGGGAGCCCCGTTGTAGAAATAAGATGCCTTGTCTCAATCTACACTGGCATAATTATTATCCAAGAGCCCCCCCCCAAGCCATTCTCCAGTTCTTGGACCTGGAAGGATTATCATTGCCGACAGTTGCCAATTAAACTTTCCGTTTTATGGAGCCTGTTACCCACTAATGTCCCGAGGATGCTTAGTCTTGGACCCTGGGTCTAGCCACACCGTTCACAACGGGTAAAAGGTACCCGTTAACAAAACTAATGCACAAAAAGGAGAGGTATTCTACCAATCGCACTGCAGGAGGTTAGTGTTTCCGGTAAGGTGGGTCTGGGCATAAAAAGCAGTCTGCGACATAGCGATGGGAAGTAGAACGACGTGTGGTAGCTCAAACCTATTGAGAACGCCAGGCTGACCTCAACAAATCAATGATGCTGCTCCCTTCGCCCCACCCATGGTTCCAAGCGCCCTTGACGTTCCCCCAGTTGCAATCGGTGGCAGAAGATTCCGTTCCAGCCATCCAATGTCTTGCTCGTCGTCCCTTTCACCTCGGAGCCGTGTCGGAGCCGCCAAGAGGCTCAAAAATGAGTTCCAGACGCCAATCCTCTTGTGCTATCGTATATACCTTCACATGAAGCTAACTATTCTAGTTGAGTCAGTGGCTGGCGCCTCAATATTCACATCATGCGCCTCACGCTCTACCGAACTTCTTCTGAATGTCAATGCAGATCATCACTTCTGGGATCGATGGTCATCACGAACGGTTGAAAACATACATATCTTGGTACCATGGTTAGCAAGACAGTGATCCGCACGCAGAGCTTATTTCGTTTTCCTATCTGGTAACGCTGAATCCAAAATTGAAATATGTCTCTCCATAGTATTTGGTACTGAGATTAAGATTCAGAAATCCAGCTGCCTATTTGGGACAGTGATAACCGCAAATAGGCATTACAAATCCCTGACTAATACGAGAGTAATTCTCACAACTTGAGGTAATACTACGTTGGACTTTGCATGTCTAATTACCCCAGTTACACTAACGACCACTGGGTGCTATCTTGTCTGCTCTCATGTTTCACATAATCCATATTGGCAGCAAGACATACCCTATCGACGAAGACGAAATATGGGGCCCCAATGTGGTTAGAAAGCAACACCATATTAAGTTTTGTGGTATATACGGATAGATCGTGGGGCTAGCACCATAACGGCGTTCCCCGATCCCAGTCGACCCAAATCCATTTTTTTCTTGGTTGATGTTCCCTGGTACGCATTCAACATGCTGCATTCACGACACGGCGCAACGCCTCTCGGGACCCAATAACACCCATTGGACCGGGATGAGGAGAATGTAGATCGATCGCGTGAAAGAGAGTGAAGACTCAGATCGACGATCGATCTACGGCCGAAAAACTGTCACAGAAGAAAACAAGGTTGTTCTTCGCCACATCCTCTTTTGGCTGGGTATCTGAACTGCTCGTTCCATGTTACTGACAGGAGTGCTGCTATGTCAGTGCCTAGGCATTTACATGTGGCGTTTCAGTAGCCTACATAGGTAATACTCCGACTTCGGACTAAATAAAACAATGACGGTGCTGGAATTTATATCAACGTTTAGGAAGTCTGATATGAACATAGAAGAGAACAATAGTGATATCGGTGGTAGCCTCCACATCAACAATAGACAACGATAAGCGGCTGGCAGGCCACATTAACTAGCACATACAGCGCCTTGCCTGCGAAGGAATACATCGTCTCCCTCAATCAAACCAAGAGGTATTCCATTATAAACAGGCTTTGCATTGCTCAGCTCGCGCCCGCATGACTTTTATGTAGCGCGACTGGCGTCTCCTGGTCCGCATTAGCTTCGTATATCGGTAAAGACATAGCGGTTTAACTCACCTGGAAGTAAGCCGCCTAGCTTCTCTATTATGCATTCATCATCATCCAGATCGGGTAGCTCCATATTCTCGATCGCCCTCGCAATAAGGTCTGGGGTTACGTCTCTTCGAAGCAGCCCACCTAGACCGCCTAGGCCACCGAGGAGATTACCAATGCTACCCAGGCCGCCAGCAGCGTTACCAATAAGACTTGTGAGATCTCCAAGTCCACCGCCAGCGTCGCCTGCAGCGCCCGCAAGGCTACTGAGGCCCTTTACCCCTTCACCAATGAGGTTGGTTAGATCACCAGCGCCTCCTCCACTACTCTGGCCTCCTCCGCCACTCTCGCCGCCGCCGCCGCCGGCAGCCCCAGCAATAGTGCTGATAAGCTTGGTGATACCTTGTACACCCTGTCCTATGAGGTTTGCGAGATCACCCAGTCCACCGCCAGCAGTGCTACCACCTCCTGATTGCCCTCCAGGGGCAGGTGCTTGAGGAGGAGCGCTGGGGGCGGGAGCTGCCATCGCCTTGACACCGACGTTCACCGCGGATGGTGCAGAAGGAATCACACTGTTCGGCTGACGGCGCTCGAACGTCTGAGTGGGCGCTGCCAGGATGGACGTAACGAGTGTGAAGATGACGAAGGCCCTCATGGTTTGATGGAGCTTCTTACCAGAAGTACAATAGTGAATAAAACTGCGGCAAAAAAAAGAAAGACTAGAGCACAGCTCTGACGAACGATATAGGGTTGAAGAGAATGAATGATAAACGAGTGATTTTTGGCATACTAATATCCGGTGAGGACGACTCTTTTATATACCATCACCAGCCATACTCAAAAATCAGACTTCGTATTGTTCACCCTTCAATATAACATATCAGTTTCATATCCCTCAGGGTTGCATTTGTCTACTGAATGTCCGTCTCCGACGTAAGTTCATAGTTAACCAGATATACCGCAGTTGATCTCTACAGGAGAAGAAAGCCAAAAGGAGATGCAGACCCTGTTTCACTATTGGATGGGGTTACTTTTTCCCACGGACCATACACAATGGGGTATGTATCAGTGCACGGCTCGGCAACATAACAGCTTAGGAACTACCAGGTGCTTTGCCCTCCCAGCTGATGAACTTGCATTCATGCAGGTGCTTGACCTAGTCCGTGGATAGCTCGATCAAGTCCGTCTTTCTCTAAGTCACCATAACCCGGGGGTTGGCGATGTTTCAGGATGAGACGGCACATGTACAACATCGCCGCCTGGCCCAGTGGAACGAACCTAATGTGACTGATTTTCGTGACTCGATTTTCGTGAATTCGCCAGAAGCATATTGTCCATGTGGCGAGCAAAGGCACCAAGCGCAGATCGTCGTTTCAAACCGGTCCCTTTTACAGTTTGTAGGGCTCGGACACAGGGATCGCACGGTTCTGAGCATATTTTGAGTTAGCCTTTGGTTACTTTGAAACTGATAGTAGGTTTTATCTCCTGTGTGCTTGTCAAGACACATTCTCTTTCTCACGTGGCACAACGACCCCTTTTTTTCGTGATTACTATTTTTGTTTCAGTCACCGGAACTTAGTAGCTCTTAATGGACTGTAACTATCCACCACATATCCCTGCTGCTGCTTGTACATTTTGTGGTCTATGAGTGTGGATGCCATTGCGAAGCTAGCCAGGATTGGTAATCTCTCAACAGGCCCTAGCATTGAGTGATAATGATAAATGAGTATGAAGGAATACGGGTATCGTGTATTGCAATATTGACTAAATATGATGACACATGACTCACATAAGCTGAACATTTGCCGACTTTTCCGATGGCATTTTTAAGAAGGGCCCGGGGGGGGGGGGGGGGGGGGTGGGTTTTGTTCTACAGAAAGTGAAGCCCTTCTGATACCTGCATATATTCACACAATTGAGAGATAACATCATATCTGGACATAGTTTATTGTCAGTATGCAATAGTTATTCCTTTCCTTTCTGATCCTAGTTAGTCGCTGTCCCAGTTGCAATGATAGGCTCCTTGATCTCTAAGACATCAATCGACATAGGTTAGCGGTTAGTTGCAGGGAACATAAGATGCATAGTTTGCCAAGGCCCAAGATCCATGACAACCCCGTAGTGCATCGGTGCGTAAATCATAATGTGGGCATGAAATGATTGCTCTGGAATGTCAACTGACAGCCGTTGCCCTAATCTTGCCCATGGTTCTGTGCTCCGAATAGGGCACGCCAAGCCCACAGGAATTGAACTATATGATACTAACCAAGTTGACTCGAACTCAATTGTCTTTTGGTCCCACTTGAATGCAACCCTACTTACTAGCCTTTTAACAGTTAGACTGAATCCTGCCCATTTGATCATAGGGCGCTAGCTCAGGAAGGGATGCTGTGCGAAATGATGCCCGAAAAGGTGTATAAGGCAGACGAGTGTTCAAAGCCCTGGAATTTGGCCAATGCCAAACGAAATTATCCCTATCAGGGGGGCAAAGCTTAAGCTTCCTCATGAAAAAGGCGCAATATAAACAGTACAATTCATCATTTAACTTCCTGGAGTCGGATTTAATTCTCCGGCCCCTCAAGCCGGATGTGCCGGTTAAGTCATAGTCCAGCCAAAAACCGTTTGGGCTGAATAACCAATTTTTGGGCACCTCGGAGAGTCTACTTTGAAGTAGACGCTCGTTCAGAAACTTTAACTTCGGGGGCCCTACACTAGGACATCGATGCCCCACGGATCCACCTAATTATAGTATCCACAATTGCCTGACAGCATCATATGGTTACATTTCATGTGTCATTGGACTCCTTGGGATCCCTTTCTGGTCCTGGTCTGTGGGTATCGGCAGAACGGTGATAGCCTGCTAGCGGAAAACCTAAACGCCGTTCTCCCTTTGGCGCCGTGGTCGAGATCTCCACCGACGCACGAGGCTATCCTTAGCCTTCTCCAGAGACGATCTTGTTCTGTCCTTGGTTGTTGTTCCGAACTATGGTTTTCTAGTCTCGGTGATCCTTTACTGAATATGCTAGGCCTTTTCAGCTGAAGATACCTATTGTTATGTTTGACCAGTGCATCACCTTTTTTTGGCCTCCATTCTATTCACTATGTTAAAAGACATATATACTTGATGTGTATCCAGGTACGGCTGATATTGTAATAGACTGAAACTCACTAAACTAGTCTCAGGCTAGTCCTTCTTTCCTGAAGTTAATTATCGGAGTATTTTATTGGCTTCGCATGACGATTATGAAACAGGGTCTCGCGGCCAATACGGGATTTACATGCCATCAAGGCTGTCACACCTCCACATCTCAGGAAGCTACTGTATAAGTAAAAGTGTTGAGAAGGGCCTATGTGTCTAATTTGTTCATATCATCTCCCAACAGGCTTAGTGAGGACCTGGCCCAGTGTGAGATTGTATTTATAGTAGCGTGGTTTTCAATCATACCATGCAGCGGAGGTTTTTTTTTTGGCGCTAGAGTAGTTGGCTTCGCTTAATCTCCTTAGCGATCGGCGTGATATAAATGGAAAGAAACACACAGCTACCAGACCCGAACTGGTTAACACGATAAGTCCACACCCGATGAAACATCATCATTGCTGCTATGGAATAACCCCCTGACAAATGAAGTTTAGTCTCGATATGGCCTAGTACAACGTAGATAGCCGATTTTCAGACATTCGTAGTTACTCCGGAAATACGGCATCATATGAACTTGCTCTGTCAATTTATGTCTATTTCAAAAACGATTTATGAATGCCTTTCTTGGTAATTGCGCAACGTTGGCCAGGCCCGTCTTAACCTTCTCATCTCTAGAATGAATAGAAAGATCGGCACCAGAGTGATGCGATATCGCTACAGGAAGTGTGCAAGCAAGTGGAACGGGGAGAGATTAGCGAGTGCCAACTAGCGCCCTAAGGATCAGTCGAAGAATTTAGATTCCAATAGAATAAGTCAGCCACTTTTGGTATTTGCTTCCCCTAGTTAAAGTGGACCTTTTCTGCGGAGCGTTTGGCTCGCTTAGGAGAAAATGTGCAATGAAACGAAAACGAAGCTGTTGGAGGCAGCCCATGGGCGGTAGGAACTCCACAACAATATCTTCGAGAAAAGAAACTAGGAATCAAGCAATGCAGGTCAGGAGTTAAAGACGTGCCCCCGAGAGAAGGAAAGCAGCGACCTACGGGAAGGTGCCGTAGAATCTTCCTTTGCCTGAGGCATCAGAGACATGCTCCTACAAACACATAGATCTTTTATAGGGGGGTATAGATGCAATCCACAAATATATTAGGAATGTAGCTTTCTGTCAAAGCTCAGAATGCCCCATGTCGGGTTGTTCCTTTCTCCAAGATATCCTTCCTGCAGGATGAACTAGTTAGGGCATCAAAATACCCCTGACACTATGCATCCGCCGAGTGACATTTCGACACACAAAGGCAGATATCTGTCGTTAGACTTCGATTCATATATTTAGTCTTAAGCCTGTTATCAATAGTATGTAGATACATAAACAGCCGTTACTCTATACAGCGTCACGGTAGTGATCATGTTAGGTGAGCTGAAAATAATACCACTTCTTCTGGTATTCCAGTTGCTAGGCTTAGCTATATTGGCCCAGGGGCGCTTTGTGACACCTAGGTGTATGTATCAGACAAGCATTTCTCTTCTATTGTAAAGGTAACGAGAACACATACTAACGGCCCCGAGTCTATAGCTATTTCGAATGACGACCTGGCCAATGTCCAACTGTTTGCGCAGTACTCCGCTGCCGCTTACTGTGACCATAACAACGACGACGGTATCCTCGGAAGCATACGGTGCCTTGAAGGGGTATGTCCCCAGGTCGAAGCTGCTGATGCCCGAACAATAGCAGAGTTCAATGAAGAGGACATCCGCGGCTTCGTTGCTGTGGACGACACCCACCGACTTCTTATCGTATCTTTTCGCGGTAGCAATTCTGTGCGAAACTGGATCAAGAACTTCCAATTCTGGAAGGTAGACGAGCCAGGACCAAGAGGATTCTGGGACAAACTCTTCGGGTCAGACAAGCCTCAGCGTGGTAACGACATCTGCTCTTGCGGAATACACTCTGGATTCTATCGGTCCTGGCAGCTCCTGAAAGCTGAAGTTATGGACGCACTCACCCAGGCTAGAGAGACGCACAGTGATTATGATGTGGTCGTTACTGGTCACTCTCTGGGTGCTGCCATTGCTACTATCGCTGGTGCGTACCTTCGCACGGTGCAGATACCCTGCGATATATATTCCTATGGTTCCCCACGCGTCGGGGACACGCGGTTTGCAGAGTTCGTCTCTGCTCAGCCAGGCTTTACAGCACGGATAACTCACGGATATGACCCAGTACCATCACTACCCCCAATGAGCCTGTTCGGGGTCTATGATCTTGGTTATAGACATATCTGGCCTGAGTATTGGATTTCTGGTTCATCCCCAAATGGCACCGATGTCATCCAGATGTGCCGTGGGCTGGAGAATCTATCATGCAATGGCACACGCCAAACAGGATTCAGCTTTGAGATTGAAGATCATCGATATTACCTAGGGCATATAACCGCATGTGGGCCGAAGTTCACGTACCGTGATATGGAGGAAAGCTGGAGCGCCGAGGATCTGGATCGTATCAGAATGCTCGCCGGCAA